TAACAGTTTTATAACTGAAAAATTCCTGCAATAATAATGACAGGAATAAAATTAATAATGATAATTGGATTATGAAGTATCCATTCAATTTTGAGTTTAGTTTTGGGGTTGACAGAATTTTTACACAAGAAAATTAACGAATAAATTTGAAAATAATGAATAGTTAATCGGGTAAACTAGAACACCTAGATAAATATTTCATTAACTAAGCAGGAACATGGACGGGTTACTAAGTATGTAAGTCTACGATTATTAAGGTATGAAATTCATGTGTATCAGACATGTTAAAGAGGTAAGTTATGTATTATTTGAAGCAACACTCAAAACTTGATCTAATTTTTATTTAAAAACTGGAAAGTTCTCAGAATAGATTATTTCAATTCACTGGATAAAAGTAGTCATATTCTGCTGTTGATAATCTGTGCTGCGAGGCATAACTTAGATGATAAATACTTCGATTACATCCGCTACAAGAAAAGAAAGGTACGTTGACCTACGATATTTTAGAAAAATAAGTACTTGTTTTGGTGGAAAGAAAGTGTATCTTAACTTTCGCAAAAAAAAAAAAATTATTAATATAAATTTTAACAGGGATGGACCTGTAATTCAGCTGAAGGTCTCAACCAGATGACCAAAAGCTCCAGTGGCGGGTCATCATATGACTAAGACCCGCTACAGGAAACACTTACTTTACCTGACATTAACATGACTATTTTGTCGTGTGACCCGTCCAGTCATTAGGCAGGATCAACAGCATAATAAACAATTACCACGTAGTAAATTCTTTGATAAAATATAAGATTATTTATTATAATGCAAATTATAAGTCTTCGGGATAGGCAAATTAAACAGAAATTAGTTACAATAATTTAAAAACATCTGAAGCAAATCAATTAAAAAAGAAGCTTTGAACCAAGACAAAACCAACTATTTTTAGCAATATTCAAACATTTTGGAAAATATTAGACAAAAATAAGACTACATCACAAACAAAGCTTTTAATATCTTTAAAAAAAAGTGACACGAAAGATAAATTATAAAGAACAGAGAAGACACAAAATTGTCGATTCAGATAAATAAATGTGTAAGGTAGAAATTTAAATTTCCTGTGTTTACAAAAGAAAGTCTCAAAATTATCGAGGACTTCATGAAACACAGAGCTTCTGTACGTCCTTCATGGTAAGAAAAGGTGGGAGCTGGATCCAACACCTGGAAAGCGCAACTCACACTCTGAAATAATGTGAGAATATATAACTGGGTAATAAACATATATTAATAATTAGGGTCAGACCAGATACCACTTTGCGGTTTTGAACGAATTTGTGCAAGAACTAACCAGTATATTCTTGAATAATATTATCAGCATTATTATGAGAAAGTAAACTGCCTAACAAATGGAAATTAAGAGACAGTATGGATATCTATAGACTCGTCACATTAATAAAAGCTTTGAAAACACACACAAAAAAATAACGAGCATTGAATATTGGGGCTAGTTTATTCGAGTTTAAAACATTGTTATCAGTCGCAAGATGATACTTTGAGTGTTGACACTATTACTGTGGTGCGACAAGACACTGTAGTGATGTTGACTAGTCAGGATACAATGCGGTGTCTCCGGGTATGTGTCTAAAGGAATGTTAAAGAGTTAAAGGTTGGGTCACCGACGGCTCTACTGTGGGCCAAGGCAGCGGCGACACATGTTGGACCGAGTGAAAATGGATACATTGATACAGGAACACGGGGCACAGTTAGATATCAAACATACAGATAAGCCACGAGAATGCCGGGAAGTATTTTTTTCAGTCTCTGGGTGGTCAGGAAATGGAATGACCTGGGCGATGAGTTGTGGAAGCAGGCTCCATAGGTATGAGAATACCCACAAGGTTAAGAGGAAGTGTACCCGGCAAGTTTCGGGGTAGGAGCAGGAGACGAAATTTGATCACTGAAACCACAAATATCTGAAAAACACACACACACACACACACACACACACACACGCACACGCACACGCACACACACACACACACAACACACACACACACACACACACCATGCACTCTCACACACACACACGCACACATGCACTCCACACACACACACACACACACACACACACACACGCACACACACACACACACACAACACACACACACACACACACAACACGCATACACACGCCACACAACACGCACACACACGCACACACACACACACACACACAACACACACACACACACACACACAGGCCAGGAGCTATGAATGACCCCTGCAACCACAACTAGGTGAGTACACAAAACTAAGGATAGCGTTCCGACACCTCAGTAAGGAATCGTTCAAGACTCTGTACACCGTGTACGTCAGACCCATATTGGAGTATGCAGCACAGTTTGGAACCCACACCTGGTCAAGCACGTCAAGAAATTAGGGAAAGTGCAAAGGTTTGCTATAAGACTAGATCTGGAGATAAGGGAAATGTCCTACGAAGAAAGGTTAAGGTAAATCGGCCTGACGACACTGGAGGACAGGAGGGTTAGGAGAGATATGATAACGACATATAAAATACTGCGAAGAATTGGCAAGTTGGACAAAGACAGGATGTTCCTGAGATGGGACATAGAAACAAGGGGGCACAATTTGAAGCTGAAGACTCGGATGAGTCAAAGAGATGTTACGAGGTATTTCTTTAGTCATAGAGTTGTCAGGAAGTGGAATAGTCTGGAAATGACGAAGTGGAGGCAGGAACCATACATAGTTTTTAGAATTATGATGAATCTCATGGAGCAAGGAGAGAGAGGACCTAGTAGCCATGAGCGAAGAGGCGGGGCCAGGAGCTATGAATCGACCGCTGCAACTACAAATAGATAAGTACACACACAAGAACGTATTAAAGAAGTAGCACTGCAGCAGAGTTCTGCTAGTCCGTGCTAGTATGTCTAACACACACATACCAACATACACCTCACCCTCATACTTCTTGATATTAGCCTATTTTTAAAGCTTTCCAAGGTTATCGCTTCAGTGGTGCTGCTCGGGGATTTGTGCCACTCATCCTCGACTCTATTGCCAGACCAATGCTTTCCTATATCTTTTCAAAATCTGAATTTTTTCCAGCTTAAATCCATTGCTGCGAGTCCGGTCATGGTTAAATATTTTAAGCACCTTATTTATATCCCTTAATTATTCTTGTTTTCCAATTATACATCTCAGTCTACTCCTTTAGTCTATCCTCGTAAGAAAGATTTCTGATACATGGGATTAACTTTGTCATCCTTCTCTATATATTTACCAGTGCACTTGTATCCATTCTCTAATACAGTGATCAGAACTGCGTAGCATAATCTAAATGAGGATATATTAAGCTGAAGTATATACCTGAGGACTCTAATAATTTATACTTCTTGATATGAAGCCAAGAATTTTATCAACTTTATTGCGCACATTACTGCACTGTTGTCTTGACTTTAGATTACTTCTAATTGGAACTCCAAAATTTTTTTTGCATTCAGATTTTATAAGTGCCATTCAGTTTATAAGTGTATTTAGTTTGTAAGTACATTCAGAGTTTATAAGCGCCATTGTCATTTTCTTTTTCCCACGCTTAGAACCTTGCATTTGTGCACATTAAACTGCATCTGCTACTTCTCCGACCACTGCATCAACTTATCCATATCTACCTGTAGATATGGATACGTTGAACTTATCTGACACCTATTTTAGTGTCATCGGCAAACTTGGTTTTTAGATGAATGGTTCAGAGAACCGACATGTTGATAAATTAGACACATGTGCAACTCTTGGGTATCTTTATTGAGGAAACGTTGTATGGACTGATGAAGCCACTGTGTGGCGAAACGTTTCCTCAATAAAGATACCCAAGAGTTGCACATGTGTCTAATTTATCAAACTTGGTTTTGTTGATATTTATTCCCTCATCTCTGTCGTTAATGTATATTGTGAACAACAAAGGGCCCAGCACTGACCCTATGAAACATTGCTTGTGATGCGTCCCTACGCTGATTTTTTCCCCCTATTTGTGCAAGCTCTTTGTGGCCTATCCTTCATCAACGCCTTGATCCAGAAAAAAAATTCTCCCTTCTGTTGCATGTGCCTCTTCCTTCTTTAACTATCTCTTGTGTGGAGTTCTGTCAAAGGTCTTACTAAAGTCTCTATACACAATATCGAATTCATTCCCAAGGTCCACCACCTCAAATACTGAATTGAAAATAGTGAATTCGTAACGAAGAAACGCCCATTTGTAAAACCGTGCTGAGATTCGTTTATCAGTTTATATTTTTCAAGGTGACTTCGAATAGCCTCGGCAATTACTGATTCCATCAATTTCCCACAATGGAGATTAGGCTAATTGGTCTACTCTTCATAGCTAAGGGCCTGTCTACTGTTTTCTAGATAGAAATCTCATTTGCCATTTTCCACTTATCTGGCACTATGCCAATTTGTAGTGATATGTTGAAAAGACTACCTAATGGTATACTAAGTTCCTCTTTACAATTCCTTTATAGCCCTTGAGAACATTTCATCAGGACCCGGGGATTTGTTAGGTTAATCTATATATCTGAGAACCATATCACTTGTGACTTTGATCTTACATAACATACTTTAGTCCTGACTTCAATAATTTCTCATTACTGGAACTTCGCCAGTATCTTCCTGCGTAAAAACTTACAGGAAGTATTAAAGGTTATACACATTTCTTTGTCAACGACACACATACACATACATACACATATGAATATTACATACACAATATAAATAATACACGCATAAAATGAATACATTTCAATAGATGCAGATTAATAATTAGTTCTACACTCAAGTCATCTTTTTTTTTCCTGTAACATTGTTGTATCCAAACATCCATAAGTGTAAATATTTGTTTTATTTTAACCATATTTAATGAAGGACTGAGTTACAAAAACTTCATTACATGAGAGATTTTTATTAAATGTAACTTAATTACTTTTAATAATAAATGAAAATTATTTTCCATAGCCACCATAGCCGCCATAGCCACCATAGCCACCATAGCCACCATAGCCACCGTATCCACCACGACCGAAGCCCAGATCTAAATTATATCCTCCGTAGCCACCACCATGACCTAGGTTGAAGTTGACAATCGCTCTTCCACCGCCGTATCCACCGCCGTATCCACCACCGTAGGCACCATATCCACTTCCGTAGGCACCATATCCACCTCCGTATCCACCATATCCACTGCCAAAGACTCCATTCCCACCACCGAAGCTACCAAAGCCTCCATAGCCGCCATATCCACCACCATAGCCGATACCACCAGGAGCAGCCATAGCAGTGGCAACCAGCACTGCCAAACCCACGATGACCAGCGAGTATTTCTGCGTAAACATTATAAACTTGTATATAGGATAATAAGATTTTAACAAAGTATTTACTAGTAATAACTATGCTATTATACCAGTAACCAAAAAAAATAGCAGAGGTAAGGAAACCCTAAAGTAATACGAAAATAAAGGTTAAATAGATTATTAATTATAATTTGGAGTAAATTATAATTAATAATGAGTAACCATCCCACGTGTGTGATACAAGAAAAGTTCTATGTGATAAATTTATTACGAGTAACTCTTTTTTATTGTAACAAAATTAGACCTGTGCTTATGTGAGAGACCGATTCTAGAATGAATGAATAAACTATACGTGTTTAATTCACCCTTACTAGGGGGAAAAAATTGTGAGTAACCAACCATTGTGCAGAAAGAATGTCCAACACACATACACAGAGGTGACTGCTCTCCCACATCAACACTGCTGCCTTATATACCTGCTGGGTCACTGGACATCCTTGAGTACTCCAACATTACTTATGAATTCTTTCCGGAAAACGTTTGAAGTAATAGTTTTTTACTAATAGTGAGCGTTTGAATAATTAGCCACGACGCAGATCATTTTACATTCATTTCATTGCTGATTTCGGCTTCTTAATATAAATATACATTAGTACAAACTGATGAATACATTATCAGGTATGTCAGCGAGGAACTCAGACGGAAAATTAACTAGACTGGTACTCGTCAGGGCAGAGTCCTGACACGGATCTTAATTTTACGACGACTCATTCATTTGCAGGAAAATCACTTGTTATAATGTTCATCAGGACAATATTCCGACATGGGTATCGGTCTTCTGACGACCCTTTGTAATCCGTGGGAAGGAAAATCAACGAATCACTATGTATATAGGAACCACAAAGCATTTAAGAACATAAAAGAATCATAAGTACATAAAAACAATGAATCGCTAAGTGTATAAAAAATCAATGAATCATTGAGTCAGAGACTACTGAGTTACGTAAGTTCAGTGCATCATCACATTGAAAAGGTAATTTGAGAACGTTGAAAAGGTAATTTGAACACGTTGAAAAGGTAATTTGAGAACGTTGAAAAGGTAATCTGACTACGTTGAAAAGGTAATTTGACCACGTTGAAAAGGTATTTTGAGCATGTTGAAAAGGTAATCTCAGCACGTTGAAAAGGTAATTTGACCACGTTGAAAAGGTATTTTGAGCACGTTGAAAAGGTAATCTCAGCACGTTGAAAAGGTAATTTGAGCACGTTTAAAAAGTAATTTGAGCACTTTGAAAAGGTGATTTCAGCACGTTGGAAAGGTAATTCGAGTAACTAATGCAACACTTTCTCTTTACTAGACCTAATTTTCATTAGAGAAATAGAATAAATAATTTAAACTCACTTGGAAGAAGTGATTACGTTCTATTTAGAGACGATTATAAACAAAGTATTTATACATAAATCGAAAGGCTGGATTTAGACGAGGAAAAATCATAGGTAAAATTGATTAGATTAAACGAGTATGATCACCTAAAACAACTGTACAGAAAATATTTTGCTAGATTATGCAGTTAGATTAATCTGTATAAAATTGAAACCTACATCTGCAGATGTAGGTTTCTATACGATTTAATAGCAAAGGTTCAACACGCAGTGACAGGATAAATTAATTTAGTCCCATATTATATGGGATCGAATTAATGGATAAAAATTAGTATAATTAAAAATAAACGAATAGTGATTAAAGTAATTGAAAAAAATTCCTAATCTTAGAATATTACCGATTTTAAAAATAAGTGAATAATAGTATGGAACAGTGAGTGGGAAATCATTTATTCCAGCTAGCAAAAATTTATTTTTCGTGAAAGATTAAAAAAAAAAGATTAAGTTCAGGTCAAAAATAAGATCACCTAATCAGAAAGTGCAATGCGTGAGGTACTAAATTTAAAGGTCGAGAATGTGTTTCATGTTTTTTAACTTTCAAGAGGCAAATACCGCAACCTTGATTACGGAATGAGGAGAAAATATTCCATAAGAGAGCTTGTGGAACAATGACTTTACGTCGACAAATGGTCGTATAAAGGTACTTTTACGTATGGCCTTTTATGTATACTGCGTTTCAGCTTCTAATGGCTTTAAGAGATATCAAACACTCACAAAAAATATATGATAAATATCTGATAAAGCCTCAAATGGGTGAATCGTTGCATTCTTAAAAGGTTATTTCGTATGTCCTTCAAACACCATTTATATAGATTGGAAAAATTAACTTTCACTCTTATAAAATTAGGAAAAGATAAAAATAGGAAGAACTTGACAAACTTATGTTACAAAATAGATTAAAAATAATGAAGGAGAAATATTTTGAATCAGAATTGTTGATGCTTGGAATATGTGGAATTAGTTATATCTCTGATGAATGTTTTATATTAACGTTCAAGAATATATTACAGGATGTTTCAGAGATGGATCCATGATATATGAAATTGGAGCCATCATTTTGAAACACCACGAATTTTGGTCAGATATAAGTTCATGGTTAGACTAGTCAGAGAAACTTTAATATATATGAGTGTATCGATAGTGCCAAACTGAAGTCTCTCTTGGTTAGACTAGTCAGAGAAACGTTAATATATATGAGTGTATCGATAGTGCCAAACTGAAGTCTCTCTCTTTATTTAACTATCATTAACCAGTTAGCCTAATGATAATTTAAACATTTTTATATGTAAGATAATTAGAGTTTATTTCTAATCTAATGGAGGTTCGCAATTTAATATAATAGAACAGGTTTAATGTCTTGTTAGAGACTAGTTATGATATACAAGAAATCGGAATAAGCGTCAAGTCTTTTCCTCCCTGGATGAAGTGCTGGAGACTCAGAATCCATAGCTGCCGGAGAATCCATAGCTAACCATACCACGGGCGGGATTGAACCCGCGATCAGAGAGTCTCAAAACTCCAGACCGAATCTTATTGTGGCTAGCTGGTCTAGTGGCTAACGCGACGGTCTGGAGTTTTGAGACTCTCTGACCGCGGGTTCAATCCCGCCCGTGGTATGGTTTGTTTGCAATCGTGTCATTACGATTTCGTGAGTCATGATCCATAGCTGCCGGAGTTTTTATATATGACGATATGTAGAACAAACCACATGGGGATGGAAATCTTTAGTACAAGATGTTTTGCATAGCTCCTGACGACACAGAGTGCGAAAGATCTTGAGCTAAAGATTTCTATCTTCACGTGGCTCGTTCTTCGCTGTTAAAATCGCCTGTTTGCGATTGTATTGCAATATGATATATATGGGAGCTAATCTAAGCATTGTAGTTTATTGAGCGAGGATGGGATAGTGACTGTCTCGGTGAGCTATAGGAAGCTCCCAAGATTTCTCACCCTCCAGCAAGACACGATGTACAGCTCTCTATAGAGTAAATACATCTCCAATAATAGGTATCATTAGAGCACGGTTTGAGGTATATGGTATCTTTTATTTAAGCACCTGTGAATGGATTACGAGATTTGTCCACCTCCACACATTTGCGATTTCAGATATTTACCTATTAACGCTTATTCTCCATACAGTCTATACTGACAGTCAGTTTACGGACCTCGGTTCGCGCCCCTCGTCCGTCCTACTGTTTATTCATATAATCCTTCGTGTGCAAAGAAGGATTAAGTGTCGTGAGGGGCGCATCTGTTCCACATAACCCAAAAATTTCCTCAGAATCAGTTTCAAGAAAGGCACGTATTTCCAGTATCTATTTCAAAATTAAAAATACATTATGTTAACTAAAGATGGGATGAAGAATTAGACACATGTGCAACATCTGGGTATATTTATTTGTAGACGTTTCGTCATCCAGTGACTTTATCGATACAAGGACATAATGTGAAGTATGTTGAACTATATACGAAAGACGAGGTAATCAGTCCGTCAGCCTTGGATTTGGTGACGAGCACAGTAGTCTTGAAGAATCTGCAGCACAGACCGTAAGACTGTGGCTTATGTACTGCGTCAGATGAGGGACGTAGAGCAGACGGAGGCATTATCACTGGTAGACGAGATTCCTGCCTACCAGTGACAATGCCACGAGCATGGCACCCATTCCTGTATATGCAGAGATCTAAGAAAAATTTGTAATCAAGTTTTTATTGTTAGTTAATATTAAATAGATAGAAAGCGTGATTAAGACATTAATTGCAACGTTCTACTCAATGGGTAATTTTTCGAGTACAAATCAGATATAAAAACAGCTTAGTCAATCAGGGGGCATGAGTCAGGTGTATCAAAGCCAGGAGTATCAACGACCAAGTTTAAGTGAGGTCCTGCGGGTGGCCTACCAGCCCATGTTAGAATTCCATTGTTAATAATAATAATGATATCTTCTACAAGTACGTGTACATGGTACACAGACCTAGCTGACATCGACGACATACTATTATATAGAAAGGCGCTTGTTATGCTGAGCATTTCGGGCAAATTAGGTCAGTTTTGTCCCAGGATGCGACCCACACCAGTCCACTAACACACAGGTACCCATGTATTTGTTTCATAATATGAAACTGTGGAACAAACAACTAGGTACCCATTTTGATGGGTAAACATGGACAACAGATGTAAGGAAACGCCCAATGTTTACACCCTTGCCGGGAATCGAACCCGGAACTCAGTGTGTGAAGCGAGAGCTTTGCCAACCAGGACACGTTCTACTAAAGTAAACATCCAAATGTTTTGTTTGAAGTTTTTTTTTTTGTAATGTTAATTGTAGACGATTCCAGACATCAACATTTGATCATATTCTCCTGGAATATGATCTTGGATATATATATTATGTCACTTAAGTGGGAGTTGCAGAATTGCAAACTAGGCTTGATGATGTTATTCTCTCTACTGGCGTATCTGGGCTCAAGTAGATAGATAAAAAGAGACCAAGAGATTGAGGATGATCATTGATTCCTGGAGAGACTATAAAAATGTAAAATACGAAGACTTAAAAGTGTATTCTCTGTTAATTTAAAAATTTAATCAGTTGATTTTTAAACTAGTGAAAATTAACATATCCTTCGTATATATTTTTTCTATCCGTATTTTGGCTGGTACGTTACACTAACGGATATTAATTACACACACACATCAGGGCCAGGAGCTGTGACACGACCCCTGCAACCACAAATAAGTGAGTACAAATAAATGAATACACAGTCACACATAGCTTATAAAATTAACGAAGAATGGTATACAATTAAATATTTGCAGATTAATAACAAATGCCAGCTCTAATACGCCATAATTGGATTTACCTTCACGGTGTTGTATATCTATCAGTTTTCTATATGTAAGTGGGTATATTAATTATATTTCCCCATTTCTAAGATGGAATGAGTTTCAAAAACTCTACACGAGAATTTTTTGTTTAAAATACTTTATTTGCGTTATTAAATATACATAGTAAAAGTTATTTCCCATAGCTGCCATAGCCACCATAGCTGCCATAGCCACCATAGCTGCCATAGCCGCCATAGCTGCCATAGCCGCCATAGCTACCTCCGTATCCCCCTCGCCCAAAGCCCAAACCTAAGCCATATCCTCCGTAACTACCACCATATCCACCAACGTGACCCAGGTTGAAGTTGATGGTAGCTCTTCCACCGCCGTATCCACCACTATATCCACCACCGTAGCTGCCATGTCCACCACCGAAGCCACCATATCCACCATCGTAGCCTCCATATCTGCCACCGTAGCTGCCATGTCCACTGCCGAAGCCACCGTATCCACCTCCGAGGCCACGAAAGCCTGCATGTCCCCCACCATAGCCGACGCTACCAGGAGCAGCAAGGGCAGCGGAAACCAGCACTGCCAACCCCACGATGAATATTCCGTATATCTGCGTAAATAATATATATATAAATTTTGCGACAAAACGTTGTTAATATTTTTACAGTTATATCATCAATACAAAAACATTGTAAGATAATCAGTTATGCTTATTAAACTTCTGGAGAGGGACGTGGGAGTTATGAAAAAAAAAGCCTGAGGCTTTTTTTCTATATCATTGTGTACTTTACATTATTTTATCAATAATAGCAATGATGTTCAGTATACTCATTACTGAAATTATAAATTAAAAATAACATTAGCAGCAATAGTAGTAGTAATAATAACTGAAATGATAACTACAGTAATAATAACAAATACTGTAATACAAGAATACATAATATATATACACTGAGAAGTGGATATATTTCAATATGTGTATTTTGAGAGTTTACAGCAATTTCTATTTTAGGGATTATGACCCTTGTGGAACCGAATGACTTTAAACCTAAAAAACAAAATAATGATATTGGTAGTGATTATTTCAATAATCAATACTAATGATTAAGCAGTGGAAACTGACTACCCGAGAAAAAAGCACAAATTTGATATCAACATGCATCATCTATTTTCAGTTTTGTTAGAAACAGCGTGCAAAATATGCTCTGAAATGCAACGTATAAGTCTCCTTCAGACTTAGTGCTTTTTTTCTTTGTATAAATATCCTCCTTCCTCTCTGTTCCCTCTGTCTTTACTCACGATCTGATAGCCAGTTGGGAAGATCTCATGTGTTATAATCTCCGTAAGCTTTGTCCCCAAAGTTAAAATTTTGAAATGAGGAATTATTTGCAGGGGGAGGGGTGCAGTATATTGAAATCTAAAGAGATTTGTGTTGTTAACGCTCGTAAATACTTCTCATGTTACTAATGGAAATTCAGTGGAAAATTTGCCTAGATAAGGGGAGAGAATTTTATTACAAGTGTAAGAGTACCTACGTGTGGGACAATTTCATTATGAATGACCTGCATTGTCAGTGTTATAATAGTGAATGAACAGTGTTTTAGTGTGGGGCAGAACAGTACAATGAGTTATGAATCGTGTGAATCGTCATTACAAGGGAACAAGCTGTCAATAACCAACCATTGTGATGAGTGTACAACACACACTACTCTCTCACTGAGGTGACTGCTCTTCTACATCAACAACGGAGCTTCATATACTTCGTGTATCTCTGGATGACCTTGAGTGCTGGATCATTGCTTAAAATTTCTACAGAACATTTAATAGTAATTTTTGTGATATTTATTAATTACATATTTTTTCTTCGTTTGGAATTTCGCCATTTTTTTCACAGTGGGTCTTGGCT